GGGAGGAAGAGGAGAGGCCTGAGGAGGAGAGGGGACAAGGAGAAAGGGAGGAAGGGGGGAAGGCAGCCCAGCCAACGAATGAGCAGGCACTGGCGACGACGACACTCTGCATCTCAACCAGTCCAGCTGGAATCCTACGGCACGTATCTACCTCTTATCTTTCCGAAGGACGGCAGCGGCAGGACACCTACCAAACTCCACTCGACCCAACTCGATCAGAGCGTGGCATACAGCGACAGCTGCGCGCAAACCCTACGACGAGGCCCACCCCTACTCCCACACCCCTGACCTCAGGCTTCTCCATCACCTGGGAAATGCTTCTCTCTTCTCTTGTGGGACGGGCAAAGGGCGCAGACCAGGAGAGAGCCGAGGGACCAGGACAACAGGCGGCTGCCCTTGGGAAGGCGCCGCGCCGCCCCAAAGGCGCCCGCTGCGCCACCGCCGCCAACTGCACGCCATCCTCCCCTCGCACACTCTACCGCGCTCTGGGGGGGGGGGGCGAAGGACGGGCCACAAGAAGCCAGCGGCCGTGGGCCACCTGGCCACACCACCGCTGCCCACCACGACCACAGCCACCCGCCGCCGCACCTCCTCCTTCCTCGCCCTGATGAAGATGTCCTCCTCCTCCTCCTCCTCCTCCTCGTCCTCCTCGTCCTCCTCGTCCTCCTCGTCCTACTCGTCCTCCTCCTCCTCCTCCTCCTCCTCCTCCTCCTCCTCCCATTCCTCCTCCTCCTCCTCCTCCTCCTCCCTCCTCCTGCTCCTCCTCTTCATCCTTCCTCCTCCTCCTCCTCCTCCCTCCTCCTCCCTCCTCCTCCTCCTCCTCCTCCTCCTCCATCCTCCTCCACCTCCTCCCCTTCTCCTCCTCCCTCCTTCCTCCTCCTCCTCCCCTCCTCCTCCTCCGCCTCCTCCTCCTCCTCCTCCTCCGCCTCCTCCTCCTCCTCCTCCTCCTCCTCTCCTCCTCCACCCTCCTCCTCCTCCCCCTCCTCCTCCTCCTCCTCCCCCTCCTCCTCCTCCTCCTCCTCCTCCTCCTCCTCCTCCTCCTCCTCCTCCTCCACACGCGCGACGCCAGCACGCCAGCCTTTTCCAGCCTGCACCGCCGGCGGCGGCGCCTTTCCAGCCAGCACCGCCACCCTTTTCCAGCCTGCACCTGCGACACGCCTCCTCCTCCTCCTCGGCTCGGCTCGGCTCGGCACGAAAGGCAGGTTATCAACAGTTGAAGCCTATTACGCCTCCTCCTCCTCCTCCCTCCCCACCTGGGAAAAAAGCATTGGGAACCTCGGCAAGCCCGCTGATCCCTTTCCCCCAATATCCCCGAACACGGACGAAAACAGCGGCACCTTGCTGGGATCGTCGTCGCTCCTTGCGCGCCACCGAGGGCAGCCGCACGAGGATGGAGGACGAGGACGAGGGGGAGGAGGAAGAGGAGTAGGGGGAGGAGGAGGCGGAGGAGGAGGAGGAGAAACAGGTGGAAGAGGAGGATGACGACAAACGTGCCTTTTGGAGGCCTCTTGGGGCGCTCTTGGGGCCCTCTTGGAAGGAATCCTGCAGCAGGAGCGGGGGGCTGGCGCAAGTGGCCTCGGCCATCAGCCGCCTGGGGCTCCGCCCTGGTGGGGAAGACCGGCGTCTGCGCGGCTGCCCTGGAAGGCGGCCTGTGCGCCGCTGGAGACTGGTCTGGCTCCCGTGGCGGCGGGGCCACGGGGCCGCCCATGGGCGGCCGCCCGCGGGCCTCCGTGGGGCGATGCCTGGCCGGGGGCGATCGTGGCGGGCCCAGAGAAGCCCAGAGAAACCTGAGCCAAGCAAATGTTGCCATCTCTTGTGGGCTGGATTTCTAGCTGCCCTTCCGACGGCCTTCCTCCAGCGGAAGTGGCCTCGTGTTGCTTCCGCCGCCGTCCGCCGACCTTCCGTCGCTTCTCGCCGACGAAGAGATGTCAACTCCTTCGATCCTCCAGGACGCGGCCTTCTCTGGAGAGCGCCGGAGGGGGGGGCAAAGAAACGTGCACCCCTCGTGCCCTTTTGGGGCTCCAGCGGGCACGGCCCCTACGGCGCACGATAGGTGTACCTTTCTTTCCCCCCTATCCGTCCATTGATCGACCCTCCAATACGCGACGCTCGATTCCGCACGCGGGCTTCCGGGCCACGATGGCTTTGGACAGGAGGCGGCGAGAGCGAAAGCGGGCGGCCACGGGCGGGGGGCCACAAACGTCCAAACCGCCCCCTCCCAGCAAACATCTGTGAGGATCCGCCCGCCCGAACGCTTCCAGGCAGAGGCCTGACCTGATAATATGTGGCGAATCGGAGGCATGTTGATTCGCTGATTCCCGGCTTCAGCGGAAAACTACGTAACGTAGCTATTCGGATATTCTGCAACAAGCCAGAGTGCAGGCGGTACCGATGGCGATCAGCAGTAACGGTGGCGGCAAGTCAGTGACGCTGGTACGTGCAGCATCGAAGCCGGGGGGCGAAACAAATACGGCCAACTCTTCGGATACACTAGCTGCGATCAGCCGCACCGACGGCGCCCACTCGAGGGAAGCTGAACAACACGACGGACACTGAAGAGACGCAAAGTCGAAGCGATTCTTTCCAAGGGCTCCAGAACCTTCCGAAACATTCAGGGCAGAAGAAAAGTGCCTAGGAGTGCGAAAAAGCCTTCCCGAATGGAGGGCGACACCTCTATCTGAGAAAATGGGACCCTCTGGGTTGGAACATGCCCCCGACGACATCCACCGCTGCGAAGAGGAATACTGCGTAGTAACAACAAAAAACGAGCACGACTAGAATCGTCACCCGCATCCTCATGAACGCGGTTCCGGATGTCTTCTCGGCCCAGGATGAGGTAACTAGGCCCGCGCTACGCCCGCAGAACCAGGGGCCCCCCTCCTGGAGGAGGAGGAACAAGGCAGGAGGAAGGGAGGAGGAGGAGGAGGATGACGGGGAGGAGGAGGAGGAGGAGGAGGAGGAGGAGGGGAGAGGAGGAGGAGGAGGAGGAGGAGGAGGAGGAGGAGGAGGAGGAGGAGGAGGAGGAGGAGGAGGAGGGGAGGAGGAGGAGGAGAAGGAGGAGGAGGAGGAGGAGGAGGCGGAGGAGGAGGAGGAGGAGAAGGAGGAGGAGAGGAGGAGGAGGAGGAGGAGGAGGAATATGAAGAGGAAGAGTAAGAAGAGGAAGAGAGGAGGAGGAAGAGGAAGAGGAAAGGAGGAGGAGGAGTAGGAGGAGGAGGAGTAGGAGGAGGAGAGGAGGAGGAGGAGGAGGAGGAGGAGGAGGAGGAAGAGGAGGAGGAGGAGGAGGAGGGAGGAGGAGGAGGAGGAGGAGGAGATGAGAGAGGAGGAGGAGGAGGAGGGAGGAGGATGATGATGATGAGGAGGAGGAGGAGGAGGGGGAGGAGGAAAAGGTGGAGGAGGAGGAAGAGGAGGAGGAAGAGCGAGCGCCCCTGAGGCGAAGGATCCGGCCCCCCCAGGGGCCGCTTGCGCCCGCCGCAGGGCCCGCGGGGCCGCTCGGGGCAGGGGGGTCGCCGCTCGCGGAGGCGACGGCGTCGTTGTCCAGCATGTTCACCTCGCTTATGAAGGCGAAATTGTCGGCTGGGTCGTCGTCAAGGCAGGGCGCGCCGCCCCAGGTGGGCACGCCGAAATCGGACGAGGCAGCGGCCAGGTCCATGAAGACGGGGTCCGTCTCCTCATCGAAGGAGCCATCGCCCTCCAGCTCGCCGAAATACGCCGTCACGTTCGCGGGGTTGCTGTCCTCCAGCGGGAGGTCGTCGAGCAGCATCTCGTCATCGGCGGGCTCCTCGCGTAGATCCACGAGGGTGCGCACGACTGCCCCGTCGTGCGAGAAGATGTCGTCAAATGTCGACCAGTCCACTGTCAGTTCGGAATCGCCGGGCGCCTCAACGCACGGGACCGCCGCGAGTGCTGCCACGCTCTCTCCGGGCCAAGGCCCATGAAACACCTAAGGAAGCCGATGTCCAGCAGGAAGCCCACGTGTCCCTGAGGTGTTACCCGCCCTAGGGGCTTCCCCAGGGACCAATCTAGCAAACCGAAAGCATGAGCGAACCTGTGGTGCCCCCTCGCCTGGGGGCTCCCACAAGACTTGGGGGGCCGCGAAGCGCAGGGCACCCAGGAAGGCCACCAAGAGGTCGAGGGGCAGCGAGGCCATCGGCAGGGGCTGGAGTCACGCTGCCCGAGGAGCCCGCAGGAGGAGGGGGCGCCGTGCCCCCTCCGAGCGCCAGCGGGGCAGCGCCGGCGAGCCGCGCTGGAAGAAGAGGCGCAGGAGGCGCGGGCGGCCCGGGCAGAGCAGGGCGCGGCCCCGAAAGCCAGCGCAGAACGTCAGCGCCAGCACCACAACGTCCGCGCCAGCAAAAAGAAATCCCCCGAAAGCCAGCGCAGAAAGTCCGCGTCAGCACCTGGGGGCGAGGGCCGGAAGAGCTCGCAGGAGGCCACGGGGAAGAAATCCCCCGAGCTCCGCCCGAGGAGATCGCACGGCGCCGCGACGGGGGGGGCGCGGTCTCGGGCCGCAGTGGCAGAGGAGCTCGTCGTCCGCCATCGCATCGTCCTCGTAAGAGTTCGGGCGAGTCGCCGCGACTGTTCTCGGCGGCTCCCATGTCCCCAATTGTCCTGGTCGGCGGGGGGCGAGAAGCCGTCGGGGCGAAGCGGCGCGGCAGGTTCTCCATCGGGGGCGGGGCCCCCCGACGAAGATGACTGCGCGGGGCGCAGCGAGCGAAGCGGAGGAGCCAGCGGGCCTTCGACCACATATTCGCTCGCGCCAAGGCGGCCACCGCCGCCGGGATTAGGGGCAGGGGGCGCGCGCGGCGAGGCGATGCGCCTCCGAGCGCCGACGACGTGGACCCAACGGAAGAACTCGACGCGCCAGTCGAACGGGGTCCTCGCAGGGTCGGGGCGCCACTCCTGCATCCTGGAATGAGCGAGAGCATGAAGCCGCGCGGCGCGTCGAGCAGAAGCGGAGCGCGGAAGCGTAGCGCGTGATCGCCTCCGAAGACGCCCCCGAGGGATCGCGCTCGCACGCCGAGCAGCGAAGCATCTCTGCGGCAATTTGACGGAGGCGCGGGACGGCGTCGCGAGCAGCGTCTTCGAGGGGGAAGCTGCCGTAGTGCAAGAGCCCGTGCGCGTAGTCCACGCGCCAATCGAGCCACGCCTAGAAGTCGTCCTCAGGGCGCCTGTAGTGGACTGAAGGGATCCAAGCTTTGGCCCACTGCGTGGCCCTGTCGGTGAGCGCTCGCCGACGCCGCTCAGCGCGTCGGAGATCAGGAATCGAGGAATTCCCCCGCTGCGGGGGCTGCGCGACGTAGAAGTGCACGAAGACGGAAGCCCCGGGGGCGCAGGGCGAGCGACAGGAGCATCTCCACTCAGAGTAGACCTGGCCACCGAGGCGTCACGCATGTCTTTACTGATGTTTGGGGACAGGGGTAGGACGGAGCGGTCGACGAGGGGGGCGTGTGCGGGCAGCTGGACCAATGGCCCTGCGCGAACTGAGCAGTCGGGTGGCCTCCTCCGCCCTGGACGCGGTGGGGGTGGCGAGCTGGGGCGGGCCGCGGGGGCGCGGGATGCGCCCGCCCATTTCACCCCCGCCCCCCCTGGCTCCGCGCCGCGCCCGCTGGCGGGCGCGAGCGGTGGCCGCCCTGCCCCCCCCCCCCCCTTTCGCCCCCCCGCGCCCCTCTGCCCCGAACCGAGGGTCCAGCAGTCCGTCCGAATCGAGAGGGTGGCCAGCGTCTTGGAGATCCGCCATGACTGCTGGCCGGGCTAAGGTGGGAGGGGGGTGGAGGTGGATGACGTCGCGGTTGTCGTGCGCGGCGAAAGGCGTCGTGAGATGACGCTGGGCAGCCAGCGGGCGCGATCTGTCGCGGTCGCGGGGAGGGGCGTTCACCTCGCGCATGCTGGAGTAGCTGTCAAGGGAGACGCTGTCCAGGTCGAACGCGCCCAGGACGACGCGAAGCGAAGGGCGCGACGAAGAGGGCGAGGCCGACAAAGAAGCCCTAGGAAACGAAGCAGGGAAACGACTACTTCGAACTGGAAGCCACCGAGCACGATGTCAGGGATGGCAGATCACCCGAACGCGCCTGCCGGACGCGAGCAAACTGTGAAGCGCGATCCGCCGAGGTCGCACAAAGCTTGGCTGTCCGAGTAGCAGCGTGGACATGGGATCTGACAAACGAGACAGACCGCGGGCAGGCTGGAGCCGCGTGGGCTACGGACGCATAGGAGGCGTAGTAGATGACGGCAATATCAGAGACGACGGGGTCCAGCTCGACGGCGCTGCCAAGTAGACCAAGGCGCCTGAGGGGCGAAGGCGGCCTGGAATAGCCGAGCTCCTGCTCAACGATCTTGCGGAACGCGTCGCAAGCCAGGTAGTGTTTGAGCTCGTCGGAAGACCCGCAGCATCCCAGACGGCATGCCAAACGACCACGTGGTTAAGGAACGCGGTGGGACGTTGCCCACTCGTTCGCGACCGTCTCGAGGTAGGCGACGGCCCAGGCCATAAAGCATCCGCGCAGGTCGGCGAGGATGCGGCCCCGCCGCCCACGCGGCCCAACGGAGCGGCCGTCCTCCGTCAGAGCAGGGAACGCGACCGCTGGGCGCGCCGGGGTAGAACCTTGACGAACTGCAGCCGAAACCGATCGCTGAAGACCCCGCCCAGCGGTGGGTGCCTGTGCCCAGGTAGTAGCAGCTGCGACGGCCGCGTTGGGAATGTCATTCTTGTGCTCAGGGGAGCGCGGGGATGCGGCTGTAGCAAAGGCCCTGTGGAGCGTCTCGACAAAGGCTTCGGACTTTCAGAAAGACGGGTAGGGCGAGGGCGATGCCGCCTGACCAAGTGAGCGCAGGTCACCAAGCCGACCGCGTTGTGGAAGAAGCCAGTCCAGAAGGCGCGCATACACTGGCAGTGCGTGGCGGGCAGCGCGGACCAGCGCCCCGACGCTGATAGCAAGCCAGGGAGGAATCGATGGGCCGCCCGCGGCAGGCAAGCCACGCGGTCAAGTTGAAGACGCCGAGGGGGACCATGAAAGGGCGCGAGAGGGCGACGAGTTCTTCGCGTAGAAGACATCGTGGCATCACGCGGTACTGGTCTACGTGCGAGAGCACGGGGGTGATCCTCATGGCGCAGTTGTTAGCCCGCCGCGAGACAGCGAGCGCGCTGCGCCCAACCCTCGCGGGGCGCAGCTTGACCTTCAAGCGGGGGGCTCGCCGGCGCGAGCCGTCGTCCGCCGCGGGGCCGAGAACGAGGCCGAGGTAGATCAGGGTGCTGACCACCGGGGTGGAGGAGAAGAACGGGGCCGAGGCCGCGAGGGCGCGACCTGGACGGAACAGACCACTTGAGGCGAGACCTCGGCGAAGAAGGGAACGCGCTTGCATTTGCCGAGCTTGAGGGCGAGCGTCGCGACGGCAGCCGCTATCTGCATGACATCTTCAAGAATGCCGAGGGAGCGGATGGAACGAACGACGCAGCCGATGTCGTCGGCGCACGCCCTCGCAAGGCCAAAACGGGGCGCCGCCAGGCGGCCCTGCAGGTCGAAGAGGAAGCGCGCCGTGCCAGCAGCATGGATGGACCCACTGAGAGAGCAGCCCTGAACAATACCAGAAGATACTCACCAGGCAAGCGCGGGGAAGCCATTGAGCATGACGACGGCCTCCAGGGGGGCACAGCTGGTCCAGGACGGAGATGGAGGCAAAGGGGGCACCCATCGGCGCGAACACCATGCGCATGGACTCCTGAGAGAGGCTCGGGAAGGCCGCGCCAATGTCCATAACCACCAGGGCAAGCATCTCGGCTAGCCGATAGCATGTTCGAGTAGGCGCGTGAGGCCGCGTCGAGCTCGAGGACGTCGACGCCGAAGTTGCACGGGGGGGTGAACCCGCGCTGTGACCGAGGAGCCCAGTCATGCTCAGCTGTAGAATGAGTGTCGCGCTGATCAGCGTTATGTCAGTGCCCCGCAGTCCCGGGACTCGAACAGCTCCCGCCGCGCGACGACATCCAGCCGAGGGAGAGTCCTCGGCCTCATCCCCCTTGGGGGGCCAAGATTGCAAGGTTACGTTGGAGCTGTTGAAGAGTGCCTGGCCGCGCATGAACCGCATCAGAGCTTCCGAAAGCACCGCGAGGCCCACCTCCGAGGCAGCCCGCGCAACGCGCGGGATAGAGTCGAAGCCGGATTCGGAGTAGTGCATTTTGGTGGCCAGCTGCCGCAGAAGCGCCGGAGAGGGCGGGGGAACCTTGTCGAAATCGAGCTTGGGCGCGCGCTGCGAGATGCAGGCCTGAGCGATGTCCTTGTCGATAGGCGTGGCGGAGAAGAGAAGGGCCCAATGTGCGATGGGCATCGCTGTCGCGGCGGCTTCCTCGGCCGCGATATCAGACGCGTCCGAAGAGGCCTTGGCCCCGCGAAGAACAAGGCGACGGTTAAGAGGGGGCCATATCGCAGACTTGCGCTGGATGACTATCAGCTGATTGCTCAGGAAGCGCGGGGCGCGCGGTCGAGCAAGAGCCGCGTCAACCTTGGGCTCTCCGAGCCTCGGCGCTGCGCACTTGAACCTCCTCGCGCCAGCGCCGGCAAGAAATGGCGCGCTGCAGCTCGACGCCGCGCTCCGCGACGATGGGGAAGTCGTGGGCCGCGCGGCGGGGGCGCCGAAGCTCGCGGGCCAAACCGGCGTCGTTGCGCCGCGCAGCGCGACCAATCGGCCTGGCGAGCAGGAGAAGCGCGGCAATGGACCCGGGGCCCGCCATGGAGGCCCTGTCGCGCGCCCCCCTGGCCACCTCGAGAATCACCCACTTGTGGGGCTCCAAATGCCTCGGCGGCGACAGCGACGCGTAGTCGAGCTGAGAGGCGACGTCGCGCGACAGCGTCTGGAAGTGAAAGGAGTCGAAGATGTGGCGAGGGATCCTCGGAGCGCCACGAGGCTTGAGACGTCGCTGAGTGAACTTCACCTTATGTGCCGCGCGGTCGCTGATGAGCTCGCCGGCAAAAACCCCAGGCGCGTCGGCGACCGCGGGCTGCGACGCGAGCTGCGCGAGGGCCCAGCCAAGCCAACTCACCCACAGTCTATCGATAGTCGACGCGGAGTGGGAATGCCTGTCGCAATGGGTCGGCCCCTCGGACGTGATCTCTGCGAAGTGGCGGAGAGCGCGTAGCCAGCGCGAAGCATGAGCACGCTGACCTTTGCCTTCCGCAAGAGGCCGTTGGCGATGCAGGAGAGGGGCCCGAGGAAAGAAATTGAAGTCGCCATGCGCCGCAACGAGACTGTGGAGCGGGTCGCGCTGAGCAGCAGTAGAATCCGCCTCCATGGCAGCGAAAAACCCGCAGCAGTTGCCTGTGGGAGAGGTCGCGGTTGCGCACGTGGCAGCGAATCGAAATCACGTCGCCCAAGCGAAGGGCCACTCGTAGCGCGCGCCGAGGGACAGTGACAGAAGGCCGAGCAACAGCCGAACAAACCTCGGCAAGAGCAGTCGCCACGCCACCCCCGACTGCAGATCCCGCGCAGTTGCTGGCGCGCGCGCGAAGCCCAGGCGAGGCCTTGGCTAGGCAGTCTTGAAGTTGAGCTTGGTCCTGGTGCAGCTCCTGAGGGCGCGCGATGCCCCTCGTGAAATCGAGCCTCCCTCTTGGCGTAGCTGAGCTCGACCTTGCCGCGCGCCCCTCGGCACTGCAGCAGCGCCCTGGTTTCCCGCGAGCGCTGCGAACGGGTCAAAGACTCCACTCGGCCGTCTCTGGGGGAGCGACGACGGCCTCCGCAACGACGACTAGCGCCGCCTTGTCGAGGCCCAGCTTGACGACAATGTCGTCGGCCAAGGATAGCGCGGTCGCGAAGTTGCCAGGCTGCGAGGGCGGGCGGGGGGCCGGGCGCCGCCCGGCCGCGAGGTAGCCGCGGCGGCGATCGAAGCACCACCTCTTGCTGCTGTCGGCGTCGCGGAGTGCATCCCTGAGCTTGCGGCCCTGGATCTCCATTTTGATTTAGAGAGGGTTCTAGTCAGCGCCAGTGCGAAGCGGGTGCGCCGAGCCGTCGGCGCATGCCACCTCGGAGCGGCGCCGCCGCCCTCGGGCCAGACGCTGAGCGCCGAGCACATTGACTGCCCCGCGGGCGGCAGGGGTGGCAACGACCGTGAACTGAACCGCGAAGTGCTTGCTGACTCGGGCGGGGGGCGCGATGTCGAAATAGTCGGCCTGCACCCCGACAGAGATGATCCAGTCGGACAGCACCTGCTTGACTGCATCAAGGTCGGCAGGCTTCGCCGACGCCGATCGAGCGACGGCAGCGTCGACATCGCGCTCGACGCCCGCGGCGGCGATGAGCGGCTGCTTCGGCTGCGCATTCCCTGAGGCGAGCGCGCCGCGGAGCTCCTGGACCTGCCCCCGCAGCGCGTTGATGGAGGCGTCGTGCTCGGAGACCTTGGTGTCGAGGGTTCGCAGCTCGACGGCCCGTTCACCAGGCTGCCCCTGAAAGCGCCCTGTGAAGGTGTCGAGCTTGTCGCAGCAAAGCTGGGAGGACGCATCGGGGCACGCATTGGGAATACTTTTAACACCCTCAGCAAGCTTAGCAGCAAATGCAGAATGGGCGGCCAGTTGCGCGCTGACGCCCTGGACCTGCTCGGCAACAGTGGAAGAGGCGACCGCGGCGAGCTCGCCCGCGAGCGCGTCGCGGCAGGAGACCATCATTCCTAAGAGTTCAACAGAGAATCATCGCAACTGTTGCACCCGCATAATCCTGAATCCTTCCTATTTTCCATTTCTGGTACGTTCATGATGGGAATGTGCGAAGCTCTTGCAATGTTTTAAAACGAATGTGCGACGCCCTAGGACGAGAGCCACCTTTTGAAAACGAGCCGCCCTCAATCCGTGAAACTCCTGCACATGTTTCAAGCGAATGTGCGACGCGATAAGGCGAAAACCACATGTTAGAACGACTCGCCCCCGGGCCGCGGAACTCTCGCAATTTCTGCAAAACGAGTGCGCGCCGCGCTCAGCCGCCCATCCGTGGAACTCATGCAAATCTCGAAAAAGAACGCGCGCCGCGCTAAAGCGAGGGCCCCATTCTGCAAACGACCCGCCCTCAATCCCTGAAACCATCGCAACTTCCCGGAACGAATGTGCGCTTTGAAAACGGCCCGCCCTCAATTCGCGAAACTGCTGCAAAATCTCAGAGCGAAAGCGCGCCGCGCTAAGGCGAGAGCCGCACATTGAAAACGACCCGCCCTCCATCTGCGAAGCGGCTGTCACTTTTTAAGCGTCGCAATCATCGACGGCGAGGAAGTCTCAGGCGAAACGCCCGGCTCGCCCAAAAGACTGGCCTCGGGGCGCGACGGGGGGGAGTCACGTGTGAGGAGAAGGAATGGGGGAGAAAAAAAAGGGGGGGGGCAGAGGAGGGGGATGACGAAGAAAACGAGGAGGAGGAGGTGGAGGAGGAGGAGGAGGAGGAGAGGAGGAGGGAGAAGGAGGGGGGGAGAGAAGGAGGGGGAGGAGGAGGAGGAGGAGAGAGGAGGAGGAGGAGGAGGAGGAGGAGGAGGAGGAGGAGGAGGAGGAGGACGAGGAGGGGGGGGGGGGAGGAGGAGGAGGAGGACCGATGCAAACCAAAGAACCATCACCTACCTCAAAGCTCCTTCTGGATGGGCCCCGACAGCGGCCCATTACCATTGAGGGAACTGCCTCGTTGGAAGACAACCGATTGAAGATCCCGAAGCGTGCCGAGACATGGCTTTCGGGATTTCAGCGCCACGCATCAACCTGACCGCTGCGTCTCGACGATCCCGACTCGCGCGCCAAAACGCCATTCTTGGGACTTCAACATCGGGAGTCAACATAACTGTTGCGCCAGTAAAAATGTGCATCCCTCCAAAACATCATTTCTGGTACGTTGATCATGGGAACCCGTGAAACTCTTGCAAGTGTGCACGACGAATGCGCGCGGCGCTAAGTTGAGAGACGCATTTCGAAAACGAGACCCGCCCTCAATCCGCAAAGCCCTTGCAAATGTTGAACATGAATACGCACGGTGCTAAGGCGAGGAACGCATTGCGGAAACGACCCGCCCTCGATCCACGAAGCTCTTGCACGCGTTTGAAACGAATGCGCGTTGCGCTCAGGCGAGAGCCACACGTTGAGAACGAACCGCCCTCAATCCGTGAAGCTCTCGCATATGGTTCAAACGAATGTGCATCTTGAAAACGGCCCGCCCTCAATCCGCGAAGCTCTCGCACATGTTTTAAGCGAATGCCCGCGACGCTGAAGCGAGAGACACATTTTGAGAACGACCCGCCCTCAATCCGCGAAGCCTTTGCTTTTTTTGAACAAAAGCGAATGCGCGCCGCGCCCGAGCGAGAGCCACGTTTCGAAAACGACCCGCCCTCAATCCGCGAAGCACTTGCAAATGTTTAAAACGAATGTGCACGGCGCTAAGGCGAGAGCCACATTTTGAAAACGACCCGCCCTCCATCTGCGAAAAGGTTGTCACTTCTCAAGCTTCAGAATCGTAAATGGTGAGAAAAATCTCGGGCGAAACGCCCAGCCCGCCCTAGAAACTGGCCTCGGGGTGCGACGGGGGCAAGCTGTCTACGAGGAGAAAGAACCCTGGAGGAAGGCCTCGCGATTTTTTTTTGTTGCTCTCATTTTTCCGAGCCCTCGGGCTGGAACAACTTGGCTGGGGCAATGGCTTTCGGGCTGTTGCTTCCTGGCCGCGGGCCGCGGGCGCCCGCGCCCGTTGCCTCCGGGTTGCTCGCGGCCCTCGGGCCGTCGGCCTCGCGCGCGCCAGCCGCGTGGGCCATGGCCTTCAGGCTGTCGGTGCCGAACGTTCGGGCAGCTCGCTGCCCCTGGGCCGCGAGGGTCCGCCGCCGCGCGATGGGCAACGCGACTGCGCGAAGCTCTTTGGCCGGAGCGCGCTGCTCTCGGCCTGCGGCGTCCTGGCTGCGGCCGGCGGGCCGCTTGCTTCCAGGGCGCCCGCGGCCCGTTTGCCGTCGGCCCCGCGCGCGCCAGCCCCGTTGGCCATGGCCTTCGGGCTGTCTGTTGCGAACTTTTGGCCGCTCGCTGCCTTCGGGCCGCGATGTTTTCCGCCGCCTCGCGGGCCTCGGGGCTGGCTGTTCGCGGCCGTCGGGCTACGGCCTCGTCGAATGGGCTGGCCGTCGGGCTTGCCGCGGCCTTTGGGCCGCGCGCGGCGCGCGCCGCGCGAATCCATTGGAATCCATGGGGATCCATGGGAATCCCCACAGGAAACTATAGGATTCCTCATAGAATCCGTAGGATCCCACATACGAAGCCATAGGCATCCCTAAAATAATCCATCGGAGTCCATATGAATCTCGATAAGAACCCCCATGGGAATCCCCATAAGAATCCGTAGAACCCCGCGTGGGAACCCATAGAAATCCCAATGGGAATCCATAGGAATCCCAATAGGAATCCATAGGAATCCTCATAGGAATCCGTAGGACCCCAACAGGAATCCATTGTAATCCTCATAGGAATCCGCACGGCCCCCCATAGAAATCCACAGGAGTCCCCATAATAACCCATAAGTTGCATCAGCAACTACACGCAACAACAATAGGCGGCCCTCGCGCGGCCCCCTCGACGCCCGAAGGCGAGGCCAACTGTTCCGAAGACCGAAACAGCGCAAACGAGCGCAAATACTTAAATCAATGCCAAGGCGGGCAAGTGGGCGCGAGCTTTCGGGCTGCACGTGCGCGCCGTCATTTGCGGGCCTTCTTCGGGCGCCCGTAATCGGCGCGGCCGCGCGGCGAGGCCCCCGGCCGTCGCGCTGGGGCTTCGTCGCGCGCGCTCTCGCCGTTGTCTCGCAGCCGTCGGCGCGCGCGGGGGGCGCGGCCGCGCGCGCTGGCCCGCGGGCGCGGAAAGCGGGGCGCGCGCGCGCCCTGCCCCGCCACCAGCGCCGCGGGGGCCGCCAGCGCAGCCAACGGCATGGGGGCGCTGACGAGCTCGCCGCGGCCACGGGCCCCCGCGGCCCCGTGGGCCAGCGGCGCGGCGACCGGCCCGACGACGCCGGCGGGCTTCAGCGCGTGAAGCGCGCCCACTTCTGCGCGGGCGTGGAGCGCGTCGGCTTCGCGATGGACGGCGGCGCGAAGATGAAGCTCGCGCCTGAGAAGCCCCCCCAAAGCGCTAGCTGGGCATTGCGCCTGTAGCGCAGCAAGCATCGTAAGATGCAGGTGGCCAAGCAGGGCGCAGCAACGTTCCGAGCGAGATCTGCGCGCTCTGCGCAAGGCGCCTGCGCGCGCGTGCGCCCGCGTAGCGGGGTTGCCTGCGCCGACGCCGACGCCGACGTCAGAGCGCGAGGGCCTGCGCCGGCGCTGGCCAGCGCGGGCGCCGGCGCCGACGTCGGCGCCGCGGCAGGCCGACGCCTCAGTTGCTTAGATCGGGTCTCTCGTCAGCGGGGCGCCTCGGCGCGCGCGCGCGCCCCGCGCGATGGTCGAGGGCGAGCCGCAGGCGCGTTGAGAAACTGTGCGTCGGGTGCATCCTGCCCGCGGGCTGCCGTCAGTCAGTAACCGCGGCCCGGAGGTTCCGCGCGAGGGCCTCCGCCCGCGCGCCCGCGGTCCGTCTCGCGGTGGCGCGCGGTTCAGATCAGGCGAAGGATCGCCGTCTGGGCGCCCTCCTGGGCATCGGCGCAGATGGACGCGGCCGCGCGCCAGGGCGCGGCTCGACTTGCCCGTGGGATCTCCTCAGTGGGCAACCTGATGCGCGCAGCTCTGGGCTGCGCCAGCGCGGCGACGCGGGCCTCGGCCCGCCCGGCGAAGAAGGTCGGCGGACTGGAGCCGTTGAGCCGCGAGGCCGCTCTCGACTTGTGGGGCATCTTCACTTCGCGGCCTTGCCGGAGGAAGCCGAGGCCAAGCATGCGGGCGCCGTCGGCGAGAAATCTGGGGCCCCCATCTTCGCGCTCTCGGGCGCCCCCCCGAAGCGCCCGCAGGGCAAGCGACCCCTGCCTGCCGACCTCCGCCCCCGCGCTTCGCCGGGCCGAGCTGCCCGCGACTCGCGGCCAGGGCGCTGGGGGCCAGGGGCGCGGGGGCGCGGGCCTGGCGAGATGGGCGAAGAAACCTCCTGACGCTCTGGAGAAGGCCGACAACGCCTGGGATTCGGCCGCTCACTCGGGCCTCAGCAAGGGCGCGTTCGCTAGCCGCCTCTACAGTCGCACCGGGACTGAGGCGCGCGCCTGCGGCGGAACAGATACCGAAGCCAAGCAGCTGGCGCGGCTCTGGCACGCGCGCGCTGCCGAGGCATGGCTGGCGCGCATCTGTGCGGCGCGGGCGCGCGGCGCCGCGCGGGGCGCGCGATTGCCCCGATTCGGGCGGGCGAACCAGTTCGGCACCTCGCGCGCGGGAGCGGAGGGGGGGGCGGCGAGGGCGCCGCGAGCTTTCGGGCGGGGGGGGTCGCGCGGAGAAAGGCGCGTGGCGCCCGCGGGCGCGGGCCCGCCCGCTGCCCGTCTCGCCACGGCCGCCGAGGTCTCAAATAAAGGTCGGGCAACAGGGCCGGGCCGCCGAGCCGCGGGTTGGGGGCCCGATGTCAGGCGAGTCTGCGATGGGCGTCCTGAACTTGGCGCGGCTCGCGCAGCGGCGGCGCCGATCCGGGGTCGACGGCGGCGCCGTGGATAAGCTGGCGGCGCCCCCGGTTGCTGCAATCTGTCGGAAAATCGCCAGCGCAGACGCGTTCGATGTCGAGGCGGGTCGCCCCGAATGATGCGCTCCAGGAGGCGGGCCTGGGCGGCGCATTCGTGCAGCAGATCAGGGCAGCTGCCGACAGCGATGTTGCGCATGGGTTCGACGCGCCGAGGAAGGCGGGCGGGGCGCCCTGGAAAGGTCGTCTCCTCCTGCCCGTCGAGAACTACCTCCCTGTCCCCGGCTGGGATATTATCGCGTCGTCGCTGCGCGCGCTTGATCGCAAGGCGGCGCGAGTGCGCACCATGCTCCTCAAGTTGAACTTGCGCGACCTGCGCGTCCAGACGCGTCGCGGGGCGGCGGGCGCCATCCTGGCGGCGACGCGCGGCAAACGCTATCTGGAGTTCCCAAGCCCAGACGACGGCGTCGGCCTCGAGGATAAGTTCACGACCATCTTCGCGGATGCCAGGGCCCGTTTTGCGAAGCCGTCGTCGCCCTTCAGGCTCGAGCGCTCGCGCGCCCCGAGCGATCTGTCCGCGGGCGAGCGCGCTGGGTTGGGCGTTGCCCAATGCCGAGAATGCCTCTGGGGGCTGGCCTCCTCCCGCGCCCGGAGCGAGGGGCATGGCGGGACCCGCCGAAGGAGCGGGGCAGGGCGCTCAGGGGGCCGCGCGCCAGAGAGGGCCTTTGCTGGCGTCTCGTAAATGGAGTGGGCATCCTCCACCTCCACCCATGTTTCCTCCTCCGAGCTACACGTCGGGAGAGGTCGAGGCGCACCCCGCCAACTGGGGTGCGGCACCTTCGCGGCCTGGGCGTCCCCGGGCGGAGCGCCATCCTGGTTTGCAGTCTCCTGGTGGCGGGTCCCACGCGCCAGAAAGCGGGGCTTCACCCACCCTCCCAAGGCCAGAAGCCCAGCGAGGGCGGGGACTGCGCCCACCTCGAACATCGCCACCATCGTTCAGGGTGGTCTAAAAAGGGGAGGAAGCCGACTCGAGCCCAGGGGCTGCTGGAATAGGAAAGGGTAGGGAAGGACCAAGCCGGTCCAAGAGATCTCGAAGATCGCCCCTGGATTACCCAAGAGGCCTCCAAGATGGCCCCATGACGGCCCAAGAGGCCCCCAAGACCCAAAGAGGGCCTACAAACGGCACAATAAGCCCCGAAGATGCTCAAGGTGGCCTCCAAGACGGCCAAGATGTGCCCAAGAGACCGTAAGATAGCCGCAAGGTGCCTCCAAGATGGCCCAAAATGCAGCCAAGACGGCCAAGATGGCCTCAATATGGCCCAAGACGGCCAAAGAGGCCTCCAAGAGATCCTCCAGGAAGGACCGAAGAGGTCAAACTAAATGATGGTCCTTTGTTTTTGTTACAGATTCTGGCGTTTGTTCATTTTCAGCGCTCGTACGGCCCAAGACAACCCCACAGGCCACTAAGATGGCCCCAGGAGCGCCCAAGAGGCCTGCGAGATGCCCCCCTTATGGCCCGAGAGGCCCCCAGGCGAGATGGCCCCAAGACGGCCCAGAAGACCTCCACGACGCCCAAGATGGTCTCCAAGTTGGCCCTGAAGCGCCTTAAGAAGGCCCCAGATCGGCCAAGAGGGGCCCGCAAGACGGCTTCCGACGGCGTCAGGCGGGCCAGGAACGCCCTCAGACGGCCAAAGAGAGGAGCCTTGAAAGGCCCCCAAGAGGCCCAAGGAACAAAAACAAAAAACCTCCTCCTCCTCCTCCTGTTTCCTCCCTCTCCTCCTCTGATTATGTCTCCCCCTCGTGATCTCCGAAGTGTGTTCACAATGGCTGGGGGAACACATAGCCCGATAGCTTGATCGAGCTCTGGCCGCAACGTTCGGCCACACAGGCTACTTCAAAAGGCGGGGGGCGGCCATGATTTGCCGAAGGCGTCTTCGATAACTTCAGCGGTGATGCATGGAGACACTGTCGCCGACAAGTCCTCCTTATTGAGAACCTGTTGCATTTGTTCACACGGCGACGATGACCACCCCATCCGTCCGCACTGCATATCACCACAGTCAGACTGCGCCGCAGCGTGAAACGGAGGAAAGCTTGGCCAGCGACTGGCAAGAGGACCAGAGGAAGGGAAGGAGGAGGAAGAGAAGGAAAGGGAGAGGATGAGGACACGGGGGAGGAAGAGGATCAGGAGGATTAAATTGGCTCAACAAAAACACCGCGGCCAGCTCACCTCACGCCAGCGAGCAAGAGGCCAGAGTCTCCTTCACGAAAGTCGACTTGCGCTTCTCGATCTCTGGCTCGGCGGCGTCCATCTTCGCCTTCACCTCGGCCTCCAGCTTGGCCTGCAGGGCGGACGCCTGCGCCGCCCTCTGGGACGTCGCGGCGGCGAGCTTCGCCTTGATGCCCTTCTCGATCTCTTTGCGGTAGTCAGAGACCGCCGCCGAGGCCTTCTCGCGCGCCTCGCGGATCTTTTCGGTGTACTCCACCTGGATCGCGTCTGCCTTGGTGAGCTTGTCCGTCGCCTGCGACAGGGTCTCCAGCAGCTTGGCGTTCCTGTCCTCCATCTCGTCGCCGACGGGCGCGTACCAGAGGGCGTTGAGGGTGGCCATCATGGTCAGGAACGTGATGGCCACGAAGGGGAGAGTGAGGCCAAAATCGAACATGCCGCCGGCGTAAGCCGGCATGGGCGCCGCGGCGAGAAGCGCCGCGCCGGTGGCCACCGCCAGGGACTGCCCGGCCTGGGGGGCGGAGCGCTGGGCGGGCGCCGCCACGAAGCTGGAGCCGCAGCCGAAGAGAGCCAGGGCCAGTGCGGAGACCGCAGCTGCGCGCAGCGCGGTGGAGCGCGAGCGGGTGGCCATCTCTGGGCGGTGCGGCTGTGGGCGGCGGTGGGGCTGGCTGGCGCGTTTCGCCTGCGCCCTCGACTTGAGCAGAAGTGGCTGCAGAGGCCTCCGAGATGCCCCTCTTATGGCCCGAGAGGCCCCCAAGACGACCCCAAAATGGCCCAGAAGACCTCCACGACGCCCAAGATGGTCTCCAAGATGGCCCTGAAGCGCCCTAAGAGGGCCCCAGATCGGCCAAGAGGGGCCTGCAAGACGGCTTCCGACGGCGTCAGGCGGGCCAGGACGCCCTCAGACGGCCAAAGAGAGGAGCCTTGAAAGGCCCCCAAGAGGCCCAAGGAGCAAAAACAAAAAACCTCCTCCTCCTCCTCCTCCTACTGTTTCCTCCCTCTCCTCTTCCTCTGATTCTGTTTCCCCCTCGTGATCTCCGAAGTGTGTTCACAATGGCTGGGGGAACACATAGCCCGATAGCTTGATCGAGCTCTGGCCGCAACGCTCGGCCACACAGGCTACTTCAAAAGGCGGGGGGCGACCATGATTCGCCGAAGGCGTCTTCGATAACTTCAGCGGTGATGCATGGAGACACTGTCGCCGACAAGTCCTCCTTATTGAGAACCTGTTGCATTTGTTCACACGGCGACGATGACCACCCCATCCGTCCGCACTGCATATCACCACAGTCAGACTGCGCCGCAGCGTGAAACGGAGGAAAGCTTGGCCAGCGACTGGCAAGAGGACCAGAGGAAGGGAAGGAGGAGGAAGAGAAGGAAAGGGAGAGGATGAGGACACGGGGGAGGAAGAGGATCAGGAGGATTAAATTGGCTCAACAAAAACACCGCGGCCAGCTCACCTCACGCCAGCGAGCAAGAGGCCAGAGTCTCCTTCACGAAAGTCGACTTGCGCTTCTCGATCTCTGGCTCGGCGGCGTCCATCTTCGCCTTCACCTCGGCCTCCAGCTTGGCCTGCAGGGCGGACGCCTGGGCCGCCCTCTGGGACGTCGCGGCGGCGAGCTTCGCCTTGATGCCCTTCTCGATCTCTTTGCGGTAGTCAGAGACCGCCGCCGAGGCCTTCTCGCGCGCCTCGCGGATCTTTTCGGTGTACTCCACCTGGATCGCGTCTGCCTTGGTGAGCTTGTCCGTCGCCTGCGACAGGGTCTCCAGCAGCTTGGCGTTCCTGTCCTCCATCTCGTCGCCGACGGGCGCGTACCAGAGGGCGTTGAGGGTGGCCATCATGGTCAGGAACGTGATGGCCACGAAGGGGAGAGTGAGGCCAAAATCGAACATGCCGCCGGCGTAAGCCGGCATGGGCGCCGCGGCGAGAAGCGCCGCGCCGGTGGCCACCGCCAGGGACTGCCCGGCCTGGGGGGCGGAGCGCTGGGCGGGCGCCGCCACGAAGCTGGAGCCGCAGCCGAAGAGAGCCAGGGCCAGTGCGGAGACCGCAGCTGCGCGCAGCGCGGTGGAGCGCGAGCGGGTGGCCATCTCTGGGCGGTGCGGCTGTGGGCGGCGGTGGGGCTGGCTGGCGCGTTTCGCCTGCGCCCTCGACTTGAGCAGAAGTGGCTGCAGAGGGCGAGAAGCGAGAAGGAAAGAGGATCAAGGAGGAATGAGCGGGGAGGAATGGCGAAGAGGTGGGGGAGGGGGACGAAGTCGACCGCGATACCGCGATAGTCGGAGGAGGAGGAGGAGGAGGAGGAGGAGGAGGAGGAGGGGAAGGACGAGGAGGACAGGCATACGCGACTCTGGGGCTGACTTCTTCCGAACGACATCACCCAACGCCTACAATGCAAGACCACTTGCCCGCGAGGACGCACCGCTGCCGCTCCCAACTCGGGGGCAAGAGGTGCCAGGAGGCGGGCGAGCGGGCCAACCCGAAACAGTCCCCCCACCCCCCACCATCCCTGTCAAAAAAACAATACAGACTGCACGTTGCCTCCGTGGAGCACGCGCGGGGCGCCCCGCGACCAGTCTGCAGAGGCTCTTGGCAAGGACGGCGGGGGGGTTGCCATGTGGCTCCAACGTGGAGCACGTGCTGCGCCTGGCGCGCCGCTTGGGCCTCGAGACATCCTCCCCAGAAATCCTCTTCCTCCTCCTCCTCTTCCTCCTCCTCCTCCTTTTCCTCCTTCTCCTTCTCCTCCTCCTCCTCCTCCTGTTCTTCCTCCTCCTCCTCCTCCTCCTCCTCCTCCTCCTCTTCCTCATCTTCCTCCTGGGGGCCTGGTGCACATGGAGCCTGTGGCGCACACGGCATGCGCGGCGCGCCGAATAGGGAAACGAACTCTATACACCGACGCTTTCTCCAGCCCTGCGCCGAAATTCGCACGGGAACGCGGATCCTGGTGTATACGGGATCCTGGTGTACAGGTTTCGTCGTGTCCCTTTGGAAAACGGGGGGAACATATGCACCACACCACCCCGACGTGGCCCCCCAACCCTCAAAAAGTCTTGGGATTGCAAAAACAACCCGCCACTGGGAGTGTTTATGATCCAGCTTCCGAGCTAAGCAATCTGCGGGGACTTCCTCGGGTGTTACCTGTGTGTTGGGAGGGCGGGTGGGAGTGAGCGAGGCGGCTTGCGGGCCAAGGGGGGCCTCGACCCGGCCCCCCTTGCCCCCTCCCCTGGTATGGGGGGGCGAGGGGTTAGAGCGTTCCAGATGGCCCAGGATGGCTCCAAGAGGGTCTCGCAGAGCACACGGTGGCCTCCAGGATGGCTCAAGATAGCCTCGGATAAACATCCAAGAGGCCGCAAGACTGCCCCAAGACGGTTTCCAGTGCCCTCCGAGCCCTCCAAGGACCCCCACAAATGCCAAAATGGCTCCGACACCGAAGGGAAATCAATGTGTTTTGGCTTCTCGCCTTTTTTCGGATTGGTTTTTGAGGCCGAACGATGGTCCCACGACGGCCCAAGAGAGCCCTTAGAGGGGCCCAAAAGGGTCCCAAGAGAGCCCCGAGAGCGCTCCAAGAGCGGCACAAGGGGGCCCTAAAACGCTCTTTCCGAGTCTCTTGGGGGGTGGGCTGAATCCCACCAGCCCTTTAGGGCGTAGGTGGTTTAGGGTGTTTCCTCTTCCACCCCCTGCTTCCCCTTCTGGGAGAGGTTTACCCCTCCCCCTACCCCTCCCCTGTACCTGGACGCGGCGTTCCGCGGGTCGCTGGAGCGTCCAAAACGGCCTCGGCGAGGAAGCCAAACTGATTCCCTACCTAGACTCTGCCTAGAAGGGTTCTTACCCTCTGTGCTTAAAGGGCCGGGCAGTGTTCCCCGCCCCGGGCGGTTCCCCCAGCATCCGCCCCGCGGTTCCCCCAGTTACGTCCCCTTAGCTTAGAGTTGCTTATCTCATCTTAGCTTAGCTTATTTCATCTTAGCTTAGCTTAGCTTCATCTTAGCTCAGGTTTATCTTAGCTTAGCTTACCTCCATCTTGGCTTCGCTGAGCTTTAGCATTAGTATGGGTGTAATTCCCTACCTAGGCTCTGCCTAGAGGGTAAGCTTAGCTTAGCTTAGCTTAGCTTAGCTTAGCATACCATAGCGCAGCGCTGCATTATCATATCATAGCACAGCATATCATAGCATATCATATCATATCATATCATAGCGTAGCATAGCATAGCATAGCATAGCATAGCATAGCATAGCATAGCATAGCATAGCATAGCATAGCATAGCATAGCATAGCATAGCATAGCATATCATATCATATCATATCATATCATACCATATCATAACATAGCATAGCGCAGCTCAGCATAGCATCGCATATCATATCATAGCGTTGCATAGCTTAGCATAGCACAGCGCAGCATGACATATCATAGCTTAGTACATCATAGCATATCATAGCATATCATATCATAGCGCAGCATAGCATATCATAGCATATAATAGCGCATCATAGCATGGCAAATCATAACATAACATAGCATAGCATCGCATAGCATAGCAACTAATGCTGCTTTCCTAGGGGCTCCAACTTCTAGGTAGGGTCGCACTGGGGTAATTGGCTTTACTAGGATGTTGGCCCCATGTTGGCCTCTTGTGGGGGCGACGCTAATTGAGGGACTCCTCTCTTTGATCGATCTTGTCCGAGATGGCCCCGCGAGCGCTCCCAAGGCTCCCAAGGGTGCCCCAAGAAGGCCCCAAGAGGTGGCCAGGAGGCCCCAAGAGGGCCCCAAGAAGCCCCCAGGATGCCCCCAAGAGGCTCCCAAGAGACCCCCAAGAGGCCCCAAGAGGCCCCCACAGAGGCACCCAAGACGCTCCAAGAGGCCTCGGCGAGAATGCCAAGATCATTGATCTGTTTCAAGTTTTTGGCCACATTTTGGCCTCTTGGGGGGGGAAGGGGGGGCACTGCTTAAGATGACTCCAAGAGCGCCTGGGGGAGCCCAATGTGACCTCCAAGATGGCTCAAGATATCCCGAAATGCCGCAAGATGGCTCCCATGATGCTCCAAGAGGCCTCGAAGCCGCTCCAAGACGTCTCCAAACGGCCAAAGAACTCCCCCAGGAGGCCCCGAAAAGGCCAAAATCCTTCCAAAACCTTAGGACAATCAATGTGTTTGGCTTTCTCGCCCTTTCGCTTTCGATGGCCATCCGAGGCCTCAAGATGGCTCCAAAATGGGCCAAGAGGGCTCCAAGAGCGCTCCCAAGGCTCCCAGGAGCGCTTCAAGAGGGCCCCAAGAGGCGCCCAACAGGCCCCAACAGGCGCCCAAGCGGCCTCCAAGAGGCTCCCAAGAGACCCCCCAAAGGCCCCAAGAAACTTTCCGACGCACCGAAAACGCTCTAAGAAGCGCCCGAGACCGCCAAGAGGCTGCCCACTTCCCTGATGGAGCCAATTCCTCTGGGCATCGTTTCTGGGTGGGCTGGCGGGGTTACTTTTGTTCGCGACCGCGGCGAAAGGGTCGGGCGGCGTCAAGGGGCGACCGCGACGGCCTAAATTATCGCACGGGAAGAGGAAGGCGAAAAGAGACAAAACCAAGCAGAAACTGGTGGGTTTTTTTTCCCTGTCGCGGCCGCAAATGGAAGCGCAGGCGGCGTCCGAAGTCAGCCCGGGCAGCGAGCCAAACCTAATTACCTAAGCGCGCGAATTAACGGCCGCCGAAACTGCCGCCGAAGGACGCCGAGGCTGGTGGGGTTACTTTTTGTCGCAGACGCAAGCGAAAGCGCAGGCGGCGTCAAACGGAACGGGCGGGCCGCGCGCGAACCTAATTGCCTAACGCGCCAGCAAACAGAGGCCTAGGCGGCACCTCGAATCACCGGAAGCGGGAGGGGGCGCGGGCTGCAGCTGCCAGGAACAAGCTCCAGGAGCGAGCGCATGCAAATTAGCCAACCGAAGTTGGAGCACAGCCAGAATGGCGCGGGAGCGATACCAGGATGAAGCCAGGAACGCCACCACGAAGGACTGCAGATACCAGCAAGGCCAGGAGGAACTCACTGACCCGGAACCTGGCGCATGGAAGTGGCGCCACCAAAGTCGCACACAACGCTGACAAGTGGCCGCAGAGGGCGAGAACAAGACGCAGGATAAACCACACGAGACGCCCATGTATCCAGCCCCTGAAGGGGGCAGCTCGCTTGGATGGTGGGGTTACTTTTTTGGTCTGCGGCCGCGCGACAACGGTCTGGCGGCGAGGGGCATTGTCTGGGGCGGGCGGCACAATGCGAATTGGCGACCCCAACCGCCACGTTGGCAGGCCGGTTCGCACCTGCACAACAAGCGCGCAGTTGCACATGCACTGAACAAAATGCTCTGCATTCACCAGCAGACGCACCGAGGCGCCGCACTGTAAACCAAAGTGAACAAGCGGCCGCGGGTGCGAGTGCAACGGAGTGAGTCGCCGGTGCGGCGCCAAACTCCAAGCAGCCAGCCCGGCTAGCTAAGAGACATGAACCCAGGACCGGGCTGCCGGCGGTGTAAATTATCCCGGCAAAGCAACCTAACAGCGATGTGTAGAAGCATATCTGAAAGCATTCCCCTTAAGATTCAGACGAAAATCCAGTTGTCGAATTCTGCTGTTCTCGCAGTCGTAGTCGCATTCGCGATGACAGTCGCAGCGGCAACGGCAGTCGCAGTCACAGCCTCAGCCTCAGCCTGCCTCCTCCTCCTCCTCTCCTGCTCCTCCTCCTCCTCCTCCTCCTCCTCCTCCTCCTCCTCCTCCTCCTCCTGCTCGTCCTCGTTCTCGTCCTCCTCGTCTTGCTCGTCCTCCTCCTCCTGGTGCTCTCTCCTCCTCCTCCTCCTCCTCCTCCTCCTCCTCCTCCTCCTCCTCCTCCTCCTGGTGGTCCTCGTTCTCCTCCTCCTGGTGCTCTCCCCCCCCCTCCTCCTCCTCGTCCTCCTCCTCCTCTTCCTCCTCCTCCTCCTCCTCCTCCTCCTCCTCCTCCTCCTCCTCCTCCTCCTCCTGGTAGTCCTCCCCCTCCCCTCCTCCTCCTCCTCCTCCTCTTCCTGGTCGTCCTCGTTCTCGTCCTCCTCGTCTTGCTCGTCCTCCTCCTCCTGGTGTTCTCTCCTCCTCCTCCTCCTCCTCCTCCTCCTCCTCCTCCTCCTCCTCCTCCTCCTCCTCCTGGTGGTCCTCGTTCTCCTCCTCCTGGTACTCTCCCCCCCCCTCCTCCTCCTCCTCGTCCTCGTCCTCCTCCTCCTCCTCCTCCTCCTCCCTCCTCC